CTTTCTGAGCAACTCCCATGGTAGGTACAGCCACAGTTTCCAACTTTTTCCTCCTCCTGCTGTCTTTCTTTGGTGTCTTGGTTTTGTTTTGTTCCTAAGACAGGCGTTTGATGATAATGAGTTATAGAATATGTTCAGTCATAGTGCCTACCCTAACTTTAGGAAAAAGGATGAGAGTTCTAGTCATCCCTGTATTGGAGAGGGGCTGTATAATTGATGCCTTGGCTTATCTTATACTACTTACCTCCCCTCCTCCCCCTTCTCCACTGGAGGGGATAGTTTTAAATCTAGAACCACCGAGACTTCCTTTTTCTTACTGTTTCTTGAGGTATGGTTATGTCAAGCCTTAGGTATATAAACTTTATGAGACAGAACCCTTGGGGCAGAAGGTGTCACATGGTATTCTAGAAAAAGTTTGAAGACCCGTTTCATTTTTTCCTTCAAATTTATTACTCATATGCAAGTGTTTGTGTACCAAGGCATGCTTGTGGCAGTCAGAAGGCAACTTTGTGTCTTTGGCTCTCCCCTTCTACCTTTATGTAGGTTCTGGAGATTGAACTTAGGTTATCTGGCTTGTGTGACAAATGCTATACTTACTGAACCACCTTGCTAGTCCCAGATCTGAGTTTTGATCCTAGTTCTAACCATAGATCTGCTTGCTAGCTAATGTGTTCCTGGTAAATCATTTTAGCTTTCTGTACCCCTCTTTCTTCATTGATGAAGTGGGGGCAATAATAGTTCTTACACATGACAGTGAATTGATGATTAAACCAGCCTATACATATGAGGTACTTCGTACCTGACATAGCTTCATTGTTCAGTAGAGGCTCCTGTTGTATTATTTTTTTTTGTAAGTTTATAAGATGTCTGTATCAAGCACTGTGCTAATCAATTCTACACATGGAACTGCATCATTCATACCAGACCATAGCTCATGAGAAATAGATGGTCATCATCCCATTTTACTTATAAAGAATATATAAATATACAACTCATGTTCCAATGGTGTAGTAGAGTCCTTGTCTAGCATACAAGCCCAGTCCCCTTGCCCCAAGTAAAAATCTATACCTCAAAAAAATGCCTTGGGCAAGGATACACGATTAGGGGTTGAATACAAGTGTGGGCTGAGTCTAGGGCAGTTCACAAATGATAACAGACCAGGCACTGGGCTTATAGGGTGTTTCTTCTCTTTCTTAAACTAGGAATAATGGGACTCAGTCTGGCTCCCGTTCTCTCTGCTGAGATTTCCTTCCTCCCAGTCTTTCTTTCTTTTTTTTTCTAGTGTCTCCAGAGCCCACCCTCCCTTCCTCTATCTCCTCTGGGATTATTTTCTGGAGAAACTCTCGAGACCAAGGGGTCTTTATCAGTTGCTGTTTGAAGTGTGGCAGCGGAGCAGTGCCGCAGAAACTTGGCGGAAGTTTCTCAGGCACACTTGGTTGGAAGTGCCCTGAGCCATCTAAAAGGACAAGTTGAGCTAATAGCCAATATTGTACTCCATGGTATTTACTGACCCCTTGGTAAAACACTGGGCTATTTACAGGATGCTATGAGACTACTTCTCATACCCACAATAGCATAGGCAGGTGAGAATGCTGCTTCTAATTCCCGTAATAGCCTAGCCAGATGAGAAGCACTCTTCCGTTTCTCAAGAAAACAGTAGCTCAAATGGCTTGACTCTTAGAGTCAGACATGTAAAATGCTAGAGTTTTTCTTCTCATAGCTTACTGGCTTAATATAATTAGTAGGACAAAGCTAATATGCATGAAATGCTGATAAGCAATACAAAATAGCATATTATGATGGGCTAAATTATGAGGGCTACATTACTTAAGATAGTCTCCCGGGAGGATATGACTCTAGCAGTACATATTTATTTACTTTAATTTGTACAATGTTTAGAGCCTCATGTCCACAAAGATGCGCAAGTTAATGACCATTGAGAATATCTCCTTTTTACTGCTATGGAAATGATAGTTCTGAGAAGTTGTCACTTGTTGACAGCAACAAAAGCTAGTAAGTGAGAGAGTTGGGATTCAAATCAAAGCAGTCCAATTACTGGGATAAATTATACTAGAAAATGAACAACAGTAAAGCAGAGTTGGAAAAGAACAGAGCTAGCTACAGAGTGTGGTTCAAGCAGGGAGATCAAGATATGGTGTGATACAGCTTATAAAGACTTTGAAAGTCCAATCCAGTTCATATTTGAAGCAGGACAGAGTAAGAAATGGAGATTTAGTGGTAGAGAATGCCACTCCTATTCTGTTCTTATTTAACCTGTTAGTATCTAAAAGCCATGGATGGAAATAGAACAAGAATATACTCTTTGGCAAGTGGACATAATACTTTAGACACACTGTTGAGGGCATGGACTAGAATTGAAAGGTAGTAGCAGTGGATTCTAGAAGGAGAATTGTGACTCTATAAGGGTAACAAAAAGGAGGAGAGAGGGAGGAAAGTAAGGGAAGGAGGGTAGATAGATGGAGGGGGCAAACAAGCCAATGATACCTCATAAAAGAATAGTTAAGAGAACAAATAGTGGGTTACATAATTGGGAAGATCAATGCTTACTAGTTTACGTTTTGGACTCAGGAGAAGCTCAGAAATCCTGGATATGGAAAGAAGGACCCAAAATAGCATAGGTTTCCTCTTTCATACTATAGTCTCAGTACTTAGAAGCATCAAACACAATAGATTTATACAGACCTAATAGTACACATTCCTCCAACTGGGAAATGCTTGGTAAGTCCTTTTTAACCACATGACTGCTGGGTGATAGTAGCAGCAGAGGTCTCCCAAAACCACAGCTTTGGGTATGATATTTCCAACCAAGCACAGGGCAAGTGCTTTCTGGGTCCTTCAGCCTTCTTGCTGTGTACTCAGTGTTCCATCACAGAACAATGTGATGATAAGGATGGGGCCTCGCCACAAATTCTAGCCACTACTGCTGATCTATAGTCCTGATGTTTGACAAGTAACTTTCTCTGCCCTTCTTTCTATATTTTTCATTGTCTGTGTCTGGCCTATTGTCACTCAGTCTTATGCTTCCAGCAAGGCCTGCTCCTCAGGACTACCTTTTTAGGCTTTGACCTTATGCTCTCTGAATCTTCAGAATTTTTGCATTTCCAGAGAGGCTACAATCCTCCCTCTTGACTCTGCATGCTATTGCTCATGGGAGGAAGAGAATTTATTTATCCCACTGGATATCAAGCTTTCTGACAACAGGAGTTTCTGTACCATCAGTGCCCAATATGGGCATATGAATAAATGAGTAAATAATCTATCATCTAAGCATCTCTTCACTATCTACTTAATTAGTATTTGTTTGTCCCACGGTGTCATTCATCTGTCTAGCATCCACTGTATATTTCTATAAGCTTTCTCACAGTGTCTTCCCTTCTGACATTTGTTTCTGTCTGTCATCGCTCCATGTCTGTTGCATCTGCCTGGCCCTTCTGTGCCTTCTCCCTATATTCTTCCTCCTGCTCTCTCATCTATATGTCTTCCTTCTCCTGATTCTATTCCCCCCAATCAGTCATCTCTTTATCTCCTAGTTCTACCACGTCCTGGGTTATCTTTCTGATATCTGATCATGTGAAGTGTGCCAGTTGACATGGATGGTCTTATATAAGAAAGCCAATGTAAGAGTTGCAGTTGTAGGCTTTAGCCCCAGACAGACCCTCTGGTTCTATTGGAGCCTTCACCTCAGACCTATTTCCAGTCATTTGCCCCTGGTATGCTAAACAGCCAATCTCTTCTGTCACCCTAGCCTATCACCACTTTGTTCTTTTTCTCCTCACAGGAGTTTGGAATCTTTGCCATGACTTTGCCTGCAGGTTCCTCATGTGTGCCTGTGTCCATCTTAACCTTCAGTCTCTAGGGCCATTTTATGATACTTTATTTCAATTGGTTCTGTCTCTTTCATGAATCAGCACACTCTCAGGGGTATACACTATATTTGACTCATGGCTATACCTCCATAACTACATGTATTTTAGAAGGCATATAGTAAACATACAATAAATACTTATAGAATTAATGAAAATTTGACTGGCTCAAGCATCTCAACCACTTACCTCCTTTTGTAGAGAAAAATGGGAAGATTAGTCATATTAATATTTTTCCCTCAAAGACAAGTGCAGGTAGGCTTGCTATTCATTGGTCAGCAGCTCTTATGTAGTTCACAAATATTATTGAGCATCTACTGTGTGTTTACCTATAACTGGAGAGTTTCTCTCCAGGTCCTGCCAAGCCCCTGCAGTCCCACAGCCCACTTATAAAATAATCACTCAGATGCTTATATTACTTATAAACTGTATGGCCTAATGGCTCAGGCTTCTTGCTATCTGTTCTTATATCTTAAATTAACCCATTTCTATTAATCTATTAATAAGTTGCCACATGGCTCATGGCTTACCGGTATCTTAACATCTGCTTCTCATTGTGGTGGCTGGCAGCATCTCTCTGCCTCAGCCTTCCACTTCCCAGAATTCTCCTCTCTCTTTGTCCCACCTATACTTTGTGTCTGGCTACTGGCCAATCAGCATTTTATTTATCAATCAATCATAGCAACATTTACCATTAATGTACATACTTGAATATGTTTTTGTTTGTTTGCTTTGTTTTTTCAAAACAGAGTTTCTCTGTGTAACAGTCCTGGCTGTCCTGGAACTCACTCTATAGACCAGGCTGGCCTCAAACTCACAGAGATCTGCCTGGCTCTGCCTCCCAAGTACTGGGATTAAAGGCGCGTACCACCATCGCCCAGTGATACTTGGATATGCTTATGAACTAAACATTTCCATTGAAGCTGGCATTTTATGTCTCCAGGAATCATCCATTGGATGAAGGAAATTTGAGTGGGGGAACTAAAGAGGACACTTAGATGTCTCCATTAACTCCTTGGAAGATAATCTAGCTCATTGAATGGAAGGAGGGGTTAGGGACGGAAGTCACTTGGGAAGTGATTTCAGCACTGACTTCCTGGCTCTTTCTTGCTGTAGGAGAAACATCCCTGTCAGTAGACCGCACTCATGGCATGTGGCCAAGCTATTGGAGGGGTGCCCTGAAGCGGCCACCAACATGCATTTCCCTTCTGAAGCTTTCAGCTTGTCTTGGCATTCTGGTTGCAACACAAGGTAAGTCTGGAGGATGGACAGCCTCAAGGTAGGCTGGAGGTTGGACAGCCTGATCACTCTCCTCCTCTCATCATCTGCTGGTTGTTTTAGAGCTGAAATGGTATAACAGAAAAATAGCATGGCTATCTAGAGTCATATAATTATATGACTAACAGGCCAGCACCATGACTTTGAGTCTGCATCTTTATTTCTTGATAGTGTTTCCTTGAGGTGCCTCTTTTGAATCACAAAAATAACCACTCTGCCCTGATTCTCATCCTATTTCACTAGTATTCTTTCTCTGATTCTTTTCTTGATTCCTGTGGGAGGTGGTCTTCTCTATCTATAGTCACTCACTAGGAATCTCCTCTAGCGTTCATTGGTTCTATCACAGAGCAGAAATCTCCAAAGCAGGGACCTCCCCAAGTCACAGGGTCTAGCTCAATGCAAGGAGCTTGGTATTGTTCATTTTTATTGAAATAACTATTCAAGCAACAAACCATTTGTTGTTTGTTTTTTTTTTCTTTCTCCACAGTCAGAAAGCTAGCCAAAGTGTAGTCCTCGGCTATATTGTCCCTTCAATAATCAGATCCCCACTCTAAGAGTGGATTTTTGGATTTTTGTTGTGGGGCTCAAGGAGGCTAAGGGGTGACTTTTCCCTAATTTGTTTTTGTTTTTGCTTTGGTATTGGAAGCCAGGGACTCATGGCAGAGGCAGTTTTGTTCTAGAAGAATATACAGAAATATGTTCTAGATCTGGCTTGTGTGTGTGTGTGTGTGTATGTGTGTGTGTGTGTGTGTGTGTGTGTGTGTGTGTGTGTGTGTGTGTGTGTGTTCTAGCAGAAAGGTGAATAGCAGATTCCCTTGTCAACAAGAAATGAATGTATTACTAGCTCAAAACCAAGTGGGCATGCAATGAGCAAGAATAAGGGGAGACTGCTCTGGAGGTTTCATGAGCTGTTGTTACAGCTCAGCTGTGGCTTGCTTTCTGAGCTGTGGCCTTTCTGAGAGCAACCTGCAGCCTCTGAGATTCTAGTCAAAGAGAGTTAATGGCATGCATTTCTTGGCTCAGTCTGGCTATGTGTTTGGGAAATGGTACTTAACATTCAAAATTACGTCTCAGCCTTGGTCTTCCTGGAGTGCTTTTGCTGTTGGTAGATAAGGGAAGTATGGGTGAGCAAAGCCCACTCATAGATCATTCCTAGCAGTAGAAAGGACATTGATAACAATGACAACTGAGAGCAGCTACTGCCGTGTAGTAAGCCCTTGGTAGATGCCTGGGCTCTGACAAGGGCTCTTTGTGTCTTATCTGATTTCATCTACACAGCAACACTAGCAGAGAGTTTACTATTTTTTTTCTCAATTGAAAGTGTTATCAGAGAGGAGCTAAGAGTTTAGATTGAGAAAGTCCTAGGTTCCAATTGCAGTTCAACTTCATCAGCTTGCTGAAATAGTCAGTTTGCTTTACTTCATGAGTTATAAAATGAAGAAAATCATCTTATTTGGGCTTCAAATGGAAGACTGTAAAAGGCCTCAGTAAATAATCAAAATTTTTCTTATCAAGAAGAATAGTAGGTTCTGAGGATGTAGCCCAATTAACAGAGCCCTTCCCTAGCATGTTCCAAGCCCTCAGTCCTATCACCAGCACTACAAATAAAGTAATATGGAATTTCCAGAATAAAAGAACATTTAAACTCCCTGACTGTGCCACTAGTTAGAGTTTGTAAAAATTGTCTTCTCAAAGTCACTTCCCTCTGTGGAACTTGTTTCATTGACACTAGTGGCTTTCAAAAGTGTGATGAGGCCCAGTGGCCTGTTATAACAAGCCCGCCATGTGATTGGGATGCACACTCAGGGTTAAGAATCCCTGGTTTATGAAATGGTCTGGCTGAAGTCAAATCAGTCCCATAGGTCTCCTCTCTGATGTTAATGTTTTCCACTGTCTCTCCTGGTAGAGAACCATACACTAACCCAACAATGACTACTCAGAAGCAACTTCAGACTCACTGTTAGCAGTGACATAGTGCGTGGTCCCCATGGCACTCCCCATTCTTTGGGGTGTTTGCTCATCGTTCCTCTGTATGAAATCCTGTCTCTCTTTTGTCATGTTTCTGTGGCATCCCTGCATCAGTCTTCTTTCCCTGTCCTCTCCCTTTGCCTCATTCTCCCTTTCCTCCCTTTCGTTTGTAACATGGGTGGCTCTGGCCAAAGTAGGAACAGTGCTAGATTGCTTAGCTAACTTATGCATGTCCCTTGTGTTTTACAGTGACGTGTGTGTGCAGTGGTGTCCCCTCTCCCGGCACTGCAGTACTGAGAAAAGCAGCTCGATTGGCAGCATGGAGAGCCTGGAACAGCCAGGCCAAGCTACCTACGAGGGCCACCTCTTACCTATTGACCAGAACATGTACCCCAGCCAGCGTGACTCAGCCTACAGCTCCTTCTCAGCTAGCTCAAATGCCTCAGACTGTGCCCTTTCCCTTAGACCAGAGGAACCACCCTCCACAGACTGTGTCATGCCAGGCCCAGGGCCAACTAAAGCCACTGATGGCCGACCTAATGTATCGGAGACCTCAGGAAGTAGCCACAGTACCAGTGGGGGCCATGTGACCTCCACTTCCCAGGAATCGTCCTGCCCAGAGGAGAGCCAGCACTCAGGACCTGCCAAGATGGTTCAAGGTCCGCCAGAGCCTCCAGTGAGGCGGGACAGCCTTCAGGCCTCCAGAGCCCAAATCCTCAATGGAGAGCAGCGCCGTGCATCTGAACCTGTGGACTCCTTGCAACAGAAGGAGAAACAAGGCTTAGAGACAGTGCTGCCTACCAGGAGCCCTAACCAGTTCTGCTGCATTAGTGGGCAAGACCAAGTGACAGGTGAGGGCCACCAGAACTGTGAGCTCAGCCAGCCTTCTGAATCCAGTCAGGAGGACTCTGAGCATCTACTGAGAGATGGCTCCTCCAAAGCTCTTGATTCCCCAAAAACCTATGACAAGGGTCCCAGCAGAGAGTTCAGCCTGCTCAAGGAGGCTCCAGCAGATTTGGCTGGCACTGTGCCCTTTGGTGCCATTCCACACCTCCGAGGAACCACAGAGCATCGCCATAGTGCTCCTGAACAGCTCTTGGCGTCCCACCTGCAGCAGGTGCGCCTTGATTCCAGAGGCAGCAAGGGGATGGAGTTGCCAGCTGGGCAGGATGGGCACCAGTGGACTGTGTCCCCTTTGCATAACAACCCTAAGGGTAAGAAAAGTCCCGTGGGAGACCCTCAGGAGCAGCCTGGCAAAGAAAGGAAGACCAGGCCCATAGATGAAAAGCTGATGGGTTCAGTACACCAGAGCCAAAGTGGTGCCCCACTTGGAGAGGTTGATGGACACCCACCAGAACGAACTTACTCAGACCCAAACAGAGCAAGCAGAACAGGCAGTGACTTGGCTAGCCAGCAGCCCTCTGCCGCTTGCTCCTCTATTCAACAAGCCAGAGAGTTCTTTTCAACGTCTAAAGTTACTGGTCACATGGAAGCAACTGAAGAAGGTGACAGTGAGCCCAAAGAATGTGGCCAATTGGGTGGTAGAAGAAGTGGAGGCCCCCGGGGCCGCTCCATCCAAAACCGGCGCAAGAGTGAGAGGTTTGCTACCAATCTTCGCAATGAAATTCAGAGGAGGAAAGCCCAGCTCCAGAAAAGTAAGGGACCATTGTCACAATTGTGTGACACGAAGGAGCCAGTGCAAGAGACACAAGAGTCTCCAGAAAGCCCTCCACCTTCTGCTTCTAACTCTGCTCTTCCGTCTTCATACAAAAAAGTCCCTAGCCCGGGAGACAAGCCCTTCAACAAAAGCATGATTCTCAGGGCTAGGTCTTCAGAATGCCTCAGCCAAGCCTCTGAGAGCTCCAAAGCTAGGGTAGGCTTAGAGGGAAGGATAAGCCCTGGCCAGAGGTCTGGCCAGTCTTCTTTGGGCCTGAACACCTGGTGGAAGGCATCTGATTCATCCTCTTTAGACACTGACAAAGCAAATGCTCCCCAGGGGGGCTGTGGAGGTCAATGGAGATGGTCGCCTGAATATAGGCCACAGCCACTATCCACAGACGGTCCTTCCAGCCCAGATGACAACAAGGAATTGAAGCCATCTGCTGCTCAAGCTGGGGAGGAAGCCATCCTCTTGCCATTTGAAGACAGAAGAAAGTTCTTTGAAGAGAGCAGTAAATCTTTGTCTACATCTCATTTGCCAGGCTTAACCACTCATAGCAATAAGCCTTTTCCCCAAAGACTTAAACCTATAGACCAGAACTTCCAGTCAGTGAGCTATAGAGAATTGAGATGCCATCCCCTGGACCAATCGTATCATTCCACAGAGCAGCCATACCATGCTGCAGACCAGTCATATCATTCCATGTCACCACTTCAGTCAGAAACTCCCACTTACCCAGAATGCTTTGCTAACAAAGGCCTAGAAAATTCCCTGTGCTGTAAGCCCCTGCATTGTGGGGATTTTGATTACCACAGGACCTGTTCCTATTCCTGCAATGTTCAGGGAACTGTAATGCATGATCCTTGCATTTATTGTTCTGGAGAAATCTGCCCTGCATTGCTAAAGAGAAATTTGTTGCCAAACTGCCTCAACTGCAGGTGCCACCACCACCAATGCATTCGGTGTACAGCTTGCTATCATAATCCTCAGCATAGTGCCCTTGAGGACAGCAGCCTGGCACCCAGCAATGCTTGGAAATCCAGGAAGGCAGCAGCAATACAGGTGAGGACTTGGTTTGTGGGTGAGTGAAATTCATCATTCGAAAGGATAATTCCAATTCATTACAATGATGCAGCCCCCTCTCTACACTCAGCCATCAGAATTGCAATATACCTGTGCAGCTGTAGAGGTTGGGGAAAGCAATTTTTGCTCCTTAAAATGAACAGAACTGGAATTTGTTCTAACTTTAAAATTAGTATCTGAATGACCTTAAGCAAACCATGAACCAATTATAATTTCAAGTTACATAATTTTTAAAGGAAAAATATATTCACTTATAAAACAGCTAGCACTAATAAAAATTCAAAGATAGGCTCCACATAAAAGATAGAACATGTACCATTTGTCTTCTTGAGTCTGACTTATTTTGCTTGATGTAATATTTTTTTTAGTTCTACCCATTTTTCTGTAAATTTCATGATTTATTCTTGTCTTTATGACTAAATAAATTATATTATGTATAGTTTCCAAAGGGCTCTAAGTCTTATCACAGATATACTTGCACACCCATGGTTATCACTGTAGTACTTACATCAGTTAAGGAATAGAACCAGCCTAGATGTCCATCAACAGATGAATGGATAACATGGCTCTTCTGTTGGAAAAAAGGTGGAGAACAGTGTTTGCCAGTATGTATTCACACAGAAGTTGAAGGGAACATGGCATGGAAGTACATTAAGTAGCTTGCTATGGATTAGATTTACATGAGTATATTCATCAACAATCAACAAATGTACATTAATATTTATACATGTCACAGGAAACACATTTTGCCTAAAATAGTATAAGCAAATGATAAACTTTAACATGCATACTGAAGTATTCTTGCAGTATATTCATGTATACAAATTATTTTACCTTTCCCACGTATGCATCTTACACATATCTTGGTTTATATATGCCTAAGATTCCAATAGGCTTTGAAGCTACAGAAAACAATATTGTTTTCTGAATATTAAGTTAAAATACTTTGTTACTTGTACATATAAATACAGTTGAATTTTGTATATTGGCTTCATATCCTATAGCCTTGCAGAACTCACTGATGAATTCTAGTACCTATTAGGTAGGTTATAGAAAATATTGCACATAGGAGGTCACATCATCTGGGAATAGAAGGAATTTTGTATGTTTTTTCATGTTCTGCATGCTCTTTCCTGGGGAAGCGAGCCTAACTGCTTTTCCTGGGCTCTGCAGTACAGTGTTCAGAAGGAATGCTGAGACCAGCACTGTTGCTCTGTTTTCCCTGCTTCCCTGTGAAGTCTGGTGGCTACAGTCTTGTAGTAATTATTGTTCTGTACTTGGCCTTCAGCTGGTTGAGAAATGCCCTTTTAGTCTTAGCTTCACAGGAGCTCTTTTTTTAAAAAAAAATTAAGAATGGATTTTGGGTTCTTTCAAATGTTTTCCTATTTCTATTAAGATGCCTACACTTTTAATTTTTGTTTAAATTTATAGTGGGTTATAATGATTGGATTTTAAAATAAGTATCCACCTAGCATTTCCATGATAAACCCCACTTGGTCATAATGTAGTAACATTTTTTTTTTTTTACGCTGCTAGATCTGATTTATTAGCATTTTGTTAAGGCCCTTTGAACCTACATTTATTGCAGATTTTAGCCTGTATTATAAAATCTATTTGTTTTTTAAACTTGGTAATGCTAGCTAAATGAGGTGGGAAGAAGTTCCCGCTCTTCTATTCTCAGGAAGAATTTGTACAACAGTGTTGTTATTTCTTCTTTAAACATGTGATAAAATTTATCACTAAGTAATTTGGGCCTGAATTGTCCTTGTGAGAATGTTTGAACCTGCACATTAATTTCCCTAATAGAAACAGAGTTATTGAGATTATCTGTTTCTTCTTGAGTGAGCTTTGGTAGCTTGTGGCTTTTAAGGAATTACTCTACGTTATCTAAGTGTTTACATTTATGCAGATAAAATTGTTGGGACCTACTTTAAAGGGCATCTGAGAATTTAAGATGTACTGGTTGACGAATAGAGGAGTAAACAGGTACATGATAAGGTGAATACAGCAAAAATGTTAATTGTAGCATCTAGATAGGATACATGGGTGTTTACTGTAAACTGCTTTCCTCCTTTTGATATGTTTGAAAATATTCCCAATGTTGAAAAAAGAGAAAAGGAAATATAGATAATGCCTGAAAGGCATTGAAGCTGAAACTAGACTAACTGGGTTTAAATTCCTTCCCCAGAATTTAGAGTGCCTAATCTTGCCCATCTAAAAAATGAAGGCAATAACAGCACTGCTTCATAAGTTGGATTAGATGGCGAGCATGTGCAAGGCCTTTAGAACAGTGACTGCCAGACAGTAATCATCTTATAAGTAAGCTATTTTAAGATGAAGGGAAATTTGGCTTAGCTTGAGAATCTTGGCTGAAAGAAGTACTCATAAGCAAGTAATAGGGAAAGGGGGTTGAAGGTGAGTGGAAAGAGGGGAGAGGATGACAACAGGGGTGTCATCTCAGGACCAGCACCTCCGCAAGAGAAGGAAGTTCAATTGACAGCAGCAGCTGCCTGTAGCAATATAGGCAAGCCGTGCCTATGTCCTACCTCTCCTTTTATACTTGGAGGAGGGACACATTGGGCTCCTAATGGCTGTTAGACTGGCCAAGCACATCTGCTTAGACACTAGGTTTTCAGGTATGTGGATGGCTATGTAATGTAGGAACGTGCCGTTTCTACCCTTCTCACGGGAATCCTGTATTCTTGACCCTGTGAGACATACAGCATGGGTTTAAACACTCTAGCTCTGGCGACTAAGGTGGTTGCTGTGGTTACTATCTGAAGAAAGGCTGAGAGCCTGCTCTTTCTGCCATGAAGAAGGCTGGAGAGCTAACTAGCTCTGATTCAGTGATCTCTAGAGAATTGAAATCAGCATATACTTATATCACACATATTTTAGGCCAATTCATTTTACATACTCTCCAGATGATTTCACTTAGCACTTACATGAGACAGCTAAGGAACCTGAGTCTCAGAGAGATCACCCAGCTCATAAGGTGCAGAGCCAGGATTTGAACAACATGAAAATAACTTGTATGGGGCTGTCCACTAGATTCTGGGTGCTTTAGATGTATCAATGCATTGAATTTTCTAGCAATCAAGAAATAGGTACCCTTGTCATGAATATGCTACCACATAGCATGTACCATACATTTATGGTATATGTATATAAACTATATATATATATATATATATATATGCATGTATAGCATGTAGTATCAATGTAAACATAAGCACATATATTTAGCACATGTATGTTTATCATGTATAGCATATATGTGTGTATGTATGTATAACATAGCAGAGTTAAAGGGGAGTGTGGGCCATCCACTTGGTGAAGGGCAGATATGGAACCTGAAGCTCTGCTTTTAGCTGCAGAGGCTGTGTTCTGAAGTATGTGCTACCCGCCTCTCCAAAAGTAGATTGCAAAGCCTAGGCCTTCTCCCATGTAGCAAACAGGATGGCTTCTGGCACTATCACTTTCGCCAAAACAGCAAGTCCTACTATAATCTTCAACTGCTCTACCTATTGTGAGTATTGCTTCTTTGGTTCAAAGAACAGAGACCAGTTTCCAGATTACTAAGCGGCTCAGGCAAAAAGTAAAGTAATACTGAGACTCTCGAAAGGTCAGTGGGTGGAGGGCTTTGTCTGGTTTACCCACTGCCATTCTCTAAGCACCTCCACAGGACGAGACAGAACATGGACAGGAAATCCTGGCTCGTGCTCTGGCTGAACACATTATGGTGCCTTTGTGGGCAGTGACATCTCACAAACATGTCAAGGCAGACAGAGTCTGAAGTACAAATTGTTAGAATTGCTCAGATGTCCCTCAAACAAAGACTGCTGTCTGGTTTTGTGAAAGCTGGAATCAGAAATACTCCCCACCTTTTTCATACTAACATCCACATGAAGTGTTCTGTGAGGCAGAGTCTGTGTCGTTCAGGCTGCTCTTGTACACTCAAGCAGTCTTCCTGCGACAGACTCACAAGTGCTATGACTACAGAGCCTTCTATAGACCGTGCACTGTCCGGGCATTCTCTGCACATCTCCTTTGATCCTCACTGACTATCTTTATTTGCCAAATAGCAAACTGAGGTTCAAAGTGGTGACAGCATGTCCCTCACATAGGACAGATAATAAATGTCTTAGCCAGTATAACTGACACCAAAAAACCTATAACATTCTGCTTCACCAGGTGTTTGACCCCAAAAGAGAGGCCTGCTGGGGCTAAGGCAATAAACCTTGGAAAAGGCTAATAATAGCAGTGTTGGAGCAAAATGAATTTAGAAGATCAGTGTGGCTTAGGAAAAAAAAATGCCTTCTCTTGGGCTAAGCTCTGAGTCTCCAGGTGGTGGGTGCTAAATGCAAAACCAGGAGGAATCTGAAAAGCAAACATGCATTCAGGTTCTGGCTCTAGTAAGAAGAAAGGGAAATTTTTACAAATGGCATGTGTGGCTGAGCAGTTCAGGAAAATACATCCACGGGAGACAATCTACTTCTATAATGTGTGAACGAACGACGGCACCCAACACTCGATCTCCCTGAGATGAGCTCATGTCAGCCCTTGTCTGAAGAAGTGGGCAGAGGATGAGGGTAGCTGACCTCTCTGTTCCACCTTTTCCAGCCCTAGGAGAGGGATTCTGCCCTCAAACCCCCTCGAGGTCAGTGCTTCCAAGAAGATTCCTTCAAAATTGGGAGCAGCAGCAGGAGAAGTGAACAGGTTCACCCAGTAGGACAAAGCAGAAGCCCTCCAACCCGCAGTGCAATCAGGAGCTAGAGCAAACAGCAGACATGCTAAACTGGTTTGGGGCGTGGTTTGGGAGGGGAGCGGAGCAAGAGGGAAATTCAACATTCTTAGCCCACAGTGTCCAGGTCCCTGAGTGCTTTCTGGGTATCTGCATGACTGCAGTAGCTCAGCAGGCTTCCCCAAAGAAAGGCAGCCTTCCAAGTGTACGTTTCTGTAGCCAATCTGGGAGAGTCCATGTTACCAGCCAAGGTACCTACCTGGCCAGGCTGCTATTTTTGAACCTATCTGGATACTTGGCTGTTCAAAGTTCCCTAACTTACCAGAATTTTCCTTTGCAGGAATTTCCTGGGGACAAGTGGAAGGCTATAACAGGCAACAGGAAAACTAGCCATTCGGGGAGGTAAGTGACTGCTCAGGCAGTTGGGGTGCTTTTGTGCTTCTGAGGCTTCTTTCGGAACTGCGATGGCTTTGGGTTTGCTTGTCTTTGACAAAACTGGTCTGCTTTTCACACAAGGACTTGTTGCCATACATATAATCCAATGTGCTGCCTACACCACCATCTGAATACAGACCCGGTGGATTGTGAGGGCATTTTAGAATAGTCAGCAGTGTTGTGAACTCTTGTCTGTCTGAGGCAGCCCTGTCTAGGTGTACCCAAGGACATAGAGAATGAGACTATGCTGAAATGAGGGGGAAGGGCATACACCGTGCCTGCCTTCCCAGTGACCACAAGCCGTTGGAGTCAACAGAGAGGAGGGATGTTCTCTTTGTCCAAGATTGTTGGAAGTGCCTACTTCTTGGGTTCTGCCACCACACTTTTAGTAGGACTGGTTGAGAACTTATGGGTCATGAGAACAGATTATGCTGCTCATAGGTTACAACTGCTGGAGAAAGACACATACAGCTTGGAAAAAAAACTGCTTTGCTCAGAGTGGAACATCTAACTCCTGTAATTGTGGATCACAGCCATGTTCCCTAGAGATGGTGGTGGCTCTAGGTGAATCAGAGGTATGGATAGTCACTTTCTTCTGGAATGCTCTTGCCTCGTCAGATCTTTTTTGTACAACATTTTGATATGCTCTGTCAGCCAGGTTTTTCTTAGGCCAAATAGTAAAAGAGGGTTCTCGGTAATTTTGAGTCTTATTAGCATCTCCAGAATAAAGCAGAAGATAGAAAAGGCGGCTCCAAGCTGTGACTCTGCTCTCCAAGTGAAGGCACTAACACGGTCTGCTGGCCCTTAAATAGTCCAGAATTCTTTTAGGTGGTCTGTATTATGCTCCATCATTTTTATTCAAATACAATTAGGTCATTTCACCTTTCCCTTTCTTCCCTCCAGCTTCCCCATGCCCTCCACTCATTCTGTCTCAAATTTATGGCCTATTTTTCTTGGATTATTATTGACACACCCACATACGTACACATAAATATATAAATGCAACCTACTGAGTCCATTTAGTGTTGCTTGCATGTATATGATTTTAGGCATGACTGTTTGGTATTGGATAACCAATTAGGGGTTCCTCCCTGGGGAACACCGATTAGAAGCTTCTTTGATGAGGGAAAGAGCTACAGTTACCTGTGATGGCAACCAACAGCTGTCTCATTGGACTTAAGGTCAACTCAACAAGAGGAAAATCATACCAGAAACCTAGTCAACTACCCAGTTGTGGATCTTAGAGGAAAACCTACTAAAGCCTACCACTTAGAGGAAAAGCCGCTCTGTTTGACTGACATAATTCCTAACTGCATTCTCAATACTAGCCCCATGATTTGATAGCATAATTGGGAATTATTTTGGCTTTTTTTTATTCCAAAGTCTGGGGAAATTACTCATTTTCCCCTGCCATGGGAAAGGGGATGATGCCCAATATTTATGAGTCAGCTATAATTCAGTCACTGGGATGGATCATTTACTCTCCATAATAGTTCTCAAGCTGCCTAGTTTATAGATGAGGTCCAGGGAAGTTATCTAGTTTCACTCAGGTCACAGATAGCAAATGCTCATGTCAGCTTTCAGACAGTCTGATCCCAGAGTTCCTTCCCTTACCCCCATTTCACCGGCTTCAATTTGGGTCCATAAATGACAGCCTGCAAATAGATCCCTCAACATAGTGTTTCAGGGGTCTAAGTCTCAAGCAGAGATTCTACAGGATTCCGTGGCTAGACTTTTTAAGAGGTGTTTATCATCTGCTTGCCAAAAGAGAAAATAGAACCTGTTCACCACGACATGGTTGAAAGGACACAAAAACAATAATGCTAACATTTTCCTGGTTTTTTTTCCTTTCTTTTTATTTTCTTCACACTGGGGAAGGAATCTATGGTCTTGTGCACACTAAGCAAGTGTTTCACCATAGAGCAGTGAATACCCCGAGGCAGTAAATAACTCAGTTACATGTTGTAGGCACCATGGAAGACATTTTTCGAAGTCTTTATTTCTCACTGTGAGGTTGTAGAGTAGGTATAATCAGTGTAGGCGTAGTTCCTTCTACGTTTAATACAGAGAGGCAATGGAGGTACACCCAAACACATTCATTTGCCTGAAGCCCCTCAGCTGGTAATTAGCCCCAAGTAGTCTTGCTTCAGAAACAGTATTTTACAGCTCACCAGTCTCCAAAATGCTTCTCCTACTCACTCATCAGTGAGTCTTAGGAAAAGCTTAGCATGTGCACTGCCATTTGCTTAGCACTGTGGGAGATACTAGTAAGAGAGCAGCGAGAAACGGTGTCTGCCCACAGCTTGAGCAGAAAATAGTAGCCCACACAGAGTTCAGCAGCAGTAATACTATATTACTACTTGCAAAACAACCTGTATGCTATGCGTTTAGTTGCACTACTTAGGGCAGAACTTCCTAACAATTCCAGCAGGCAGGCATTAGACCAGGGTGTTGAATCTCAGAGTTGAGTGTGCAACAGAAACATCTGGAGAGCTTGTTCAAACATGAAAGCCCACTGGAATCTGCCCCTTAAAATGGAATTTTATAGGTGTGAAGTAGGGCTTAAAATCGACGTTTCCAACTGGCTCCTTGGATGATGCTGGCACTGCCAGTCCTGGGACCACACGTTGAGAACTGCTAACTCAGATAAAGGATGTGAGAGTCAGAGAGGGTGAGTTCTCCACTCAAGGTCTCATAGCTGCTAAGGGGACCAGCTCAGCTTTGAAGCCAGCTTTTTCCTACAAAAGTGTCTAAAAGAACATGCAGCTTAAACAAGAAAGCCCTGAAACAAGGCCCCACTACATGATAAGTATTTATTGTGTTTTGGATCAGTTCATGGAAGGAAAAGAAAACTGGAGGCTGAAAGTGGGAGGAGCGGAGACCAAGTGAGGTGTCCTATTACTAAAAAAAGCCTTGGAGTTAATACTGCCCAAGTTGAAATCCATATTCATGTGCTTCCTCCTTCTTCCTCTCTCCCCTTCACTGACTCTTCCTTCTTATCTCTTATCTCCATCACTATCTTTATCTCTTCCTATTTGTAAGATAGGATAAGAGCAACAACATCAAATATTTATGAGAAACCGTTCCAAACACAGCTTAACACTAGAAATGTTAGTTGTGATACTGAGAAGGAGAAGTCATGGCTCATGCTCAGCAGTAAGAGCAGAGAAGTATAACTAATGGAGCTTTAGACCAGGATGGGTAGGCCCGGAGAACTAGAATGGATGATGAACATGAGAGTGAATCATGTTCACCTGTCATCAGTGAGTACCAAGTTCCAGTTAGACAGCAGCATGAAGCTCTGATGTGTGGCCTGTGATGTGGTGACTACAGATAGCAGTGATGAACTGTATGTACACTTGAAAAGGCCATAAGGGGATTTTGAACATTTTGCCATAAAGAAACGATAAATATTTGAAAGAGAGGTATTTACCCTGATTTAATCATTATTCATTGTATACATGTATCAATCAATACCTGATACCCCACTAATAAGTACCACTTTAGAATTATATATAATATATATATAAATACATATATACATATATCAATTAAAAATAAATTCAGATGGGGTATAAATGAGGAGAATGGGGCTTGAAAAAGATGGCTAAAATTCATTATATAAATGAAGTTTTCAAACAAAAATTCAAAAAAAATTGACAGGTAAGTGACTTGATAAATGTGGCATTTTAGGCAACTTGGCAGTATTTGAAATCTAGATGAGTTGGAGGGTAACCAAGTGCGGCAGTCATCCAGAAGTTACAATGTGTGTTTGGACTAGGCTGTGGAGGTGCAATTGAAATACAGTATAAAAGATAAATATGTGTGATCTTTTGGGAGAAAAAATAATTGTTTATTATGGAAACAATATTACAGAAAATTAAGCACAAGAAAAAATAGCCTTGTCTCTACCACCTTATTGCTCCAATTTCCTGTTTGCTTTCTCTATAGGTGTGGAGATTATTTCTGGCATGGTTATAATAACTATGCAAATGAGCTTTTGTATCCTGATACACTAAGCATTATTTGATAAATAATTTTTATTCAAGCCTCCTCAGTAATTATAATCTTAATGGCTATATAATATTTCATCTGTTTATTGTATACTAATTTGTTTAATCAATCTTAAATTGTTGAATAATCAGGGTGTTTTCAATGTCTTACTATTATAAAAAATTATCTAGAACAGTTTGAATATCTATAGATTTTTTTTCTCATTTTAAATTATCTCATTAAAGCAATTACCTGAAACAATTATTAAAGAAACTACTATCTGGAGTTTGGATTACTAGTTCACAGTATATGAACATTTTTATGATCCTTCACAGATTTAAAAAATGACTTTCCTTAGGGGGCATTTTACATTACCACCTGCAATATACTAGAACAGTTCTTTGCACCAAATTTTGCCATAATTGAAAATTTTCTTTTTCTGACATAACAGTTATACCTGTTAATTTGCTTACCTTGATCATCCTAGTTTGAATATTTTTCATGTGTTTATTCACTGTCATTATTGCTTCTCATGTGAATGTTCAGATTATTTGCTAAAAACTATAAAGTATCTTTTGAAGGACAAGTAGAGAAAACTGTTTCTAGAGCTTTGGAACACAGGAGATAATTAAAACTAGCTGAGCCCTGGTGACCTGGGAAGTCACTGACATAGATGGGACAGTCTCTGTCAGTAGAAAGGGAGCCGGTTTAGAGAAGATGGTACCTTACAACTAGTATGTATTAGAGGTGAAGGTAATGAGGTCTACAAGCAGATTATTCAGAGGATGCTTGCCAAACACTCAGACAGGGAAAAATGAGAAGAAAGTGGTAAAGCAGGATCAAGTGGCCAAAGTGCTAGAAGAAAAATGTCTCAGTGTACTGCCATCATGGAAGACAGCATTAATGGCTTTGACAGTTTGCAATCATATGTGTCCTTCAGGAAAGCAAATTTAGCAAAATATTGGATATAGGAA